TGCACCCCGTCATACCCCGGCCATTTCATATAGCGGGTATTGCTCACCGAACAGCCATTATGGGTCCAACGGCCAGGATGAGCTTTCCAGGCACTTGAATGCCCCTATTGTCTTCCAGAAAACCCGAAACTGTAAATCCTCATGGGTTTTTGTGAAGACACAACCTTGGGAACATCCTCAAAATCCCGCACAGCCCCAGCCTGCATCCGCTCGGGCCGCTCGGGCCGCTCGGGCCGCTCCGGCCGCTCCGGCCGCTCGGGCGCACTTCTCACACCCTGCGGTGCTTGCTGGCCTCCGGGCTTCCAGGCTCTTGCGAGGGCGGCATGCCGACGACTCTCCTCATAGGCACGCTTCTGGTCCCTGTGTGCATAGCAAGACCTCAGCAATGGCAACTGGGAACTCTGCAGCCGAACATCACCAATGTTCCCATCCCCAGGCGTTCCCAGGTCGTCCAAACACCAGCTCCGAATTCGCGTGAGGATCCCATCCCTGTCCCACCAAGGTTGCAGCTTTTGGTTCTCCAAACGCTTCAAAAGCCTGGAGAGCGGATGGCTGGGCGGATGTCGCCTTCAACTGAATTGGTGATACGCTGATAGGAGCCATTTAGATTCAACCCATTGGAATCAACCTGGTTCCCAGGTACTGGATCGCAATGGCAATGGTGTTTACAAACAGGCTAAGTATACAGGATACAACATGGGAAAAAAAATCAAGTACAACTTACAACTACTGGCCGGCTGATAAGTTTCAAAGTGTGTCAAAACCCAAATCATCTGCTGATTGGGAGCAATCTTCTAAAGGAGTGAATTCACATTGGAAACACGTGGAAACTACCGGGCAGGTGTGTATGATTGGTTCAACCCCCATTCATCCAGACCAGTCAGTACTGAAACCCTGTCTACCCCTGCTTGCAGCAGAGGTGCTTCTGGTTTTCGTAGTCGATTCGTTGCAGCCTCGCCAAGGGCCCAATGGTCAGCCCACATTGCGGGGGGTCAGTAGCATCATTAAGCATCGTTAGCCTTGGTAAAATAAGGAAGTAGAAATCTCAATGAATAACAATTCCTATGAATTCCTCACATTCTTAGTAATACTTTCATACATTTTACAATTTTTACAGTAATACTTTATATAATATTATATAATACTAGGTCACTAGGTACTTGGATGTACTTGGAAGGTCTAGACCTCTTTTTGCTGTAGGCCATGGGACTCCCAGGATGCGATCACTGAGTCCACACTGAGCTGTCGGACTCCTTCCGGCGCTGGTTGGTGTTAAGACCTAGGCATGGGCCCATTGAATCCGATTGATATCAATTTGTTCAGCTACTGCATCAAATCCAAAATAACGTAAAATAAAGCTATGATAGATGATCTGGGTCTGTGATTTTTGACTCCTTTAGACATTTTAGACTCTTGCACTCGTGGACTCACTCTGCTCCCCTCTCCAGGCATCCTAAGATCTGCCCGTCTGTGTTTTCTGGAAAGCTGGCAAACCCGGCTAAAAGTTCTGTGAAACTGCGAGCTTGGCTGGATGAAGGAGTGGACAACCCATGAAGCATCCATTTCTGTGCGCTACATCCCCATAAACCTCCTCCCATGTTGGCTGCTCCATTCACCAGCACTGACTGGACCGGCGAGTGAAACGCTGAAACGCTGGCGACCATCTGGGGTCTGATCGTAAGTTGAAGACAATCAAACTTGAAACATGGTTGAATCAAGTGAAGCTGGATCCACCATTCCCAGAAGTGTATATATATATATGTGTGTGTGTGCGCGCGTGTGTATTGGGTCATTAATATAATATAACTAACTATATTTGATTAATGTCAGCCCCGGCTTAATACTGCTTTGAGAATTAATGACTAGTGACTAGTGATAACCTGCGTTAAAATGGTAGCCCCACCAACTAAACAGCCCAGGGAAATTATTTGGTTTAATTATCCACGGTTTTCTAGGTCGCCATGGGTCACTGACCGCTCTCTCACTGCACCTGGTAGGTGGGTTTGGAGGTGGGGGCCTGGAGGGTAGTGGGCTGGGGTTTCGAGTGGGGTTGGTTGGGGTTGATCCGATGTGAAATGCCATGCGCTTAAAATGACTGAGGCAAGCATTTCTTACAAAATGAATCGCCCCAACCCCAACCCAGCCAAAAACAACTTTTTTTCAGCTAGAAATGACCACACATCTCTCTAACAAGATGCTCATATGTCTCGATGTTTGGAAGATTTGGGGTCATCTCCGAGAAATTGGCTCTGCTTCAACACGGAGATGATGAGTCCATCTCCAAACCATCAAAACGGATTTTGAATTCAAAAACGCCACTAAATGCCAGAAAGAACCCGACCCAACAACTGCAATATCATGCCATATCCCCAAGATTCTCCAAGTACCACAAGTTACCTTCTAGATTCTAGACTCCACAAATTTGGGGTTCCATGTTATATCTTGGATGATTTCTACATTGTTCTACCATTCCACCATATTCCACCCATTTTTAAAAGGGCCCACGCCAGCGCCTGGCTGTGCCGTGAGCGCTGTGAGCGTTGCGAGGCGGTCGAGCGCACTGACCGCACGTCATCCTGGCATTGTGGCTGGGAAAAAGCTGAAGAACAACTTGGACTTATTTCAATCATGGTGGATTTACAGTATGTAGATTATGTGGTCTATGGATTGTAATTTGTATAAAGTGATCTAATGTGATTACATAGATATAGAATGATGTAGATTGACATGTATTATAGCTGGGTATTCTGGACGTACCTTGGTTGGTTTCTGGCTAGTGGTTACCCAAAGTGTATATAAGAAAGAAAGAAAGAAAGAAAGATAGATAGACAGACAGACAGACAGACAGATAGATAGATAGATAGACCCACACGAGATGAGGGGTACTCATCAACAATACGCTGGTTGGTGGTTAAGTCGCCAATTCCGAAAAATATGAAGGTCGATTGGGAACATCATCTGAAATTATTTTTAAAGTTGGGACATGAACTTGGAGAAAAAAAAACCTTAGCTTTGATATCTTTAGCTAATTAGTTCTGTGAATGTCCATCCCGGATCAAGATCCCCCTATTCCTGTTATACTTTGGGGGTCACACCCAGAAAAAGTCATAAAATTCATAAATCGTGGGTATATTATCACTAAAAGTACTATTAAAAATGATACCCCCCATCTGGCCCAAGTGGTTTTTCCGCAAAAAAATCCTGGATTGAAGCTCCAGGCCATGTCACCACTTCGGTGGATCCCACCTCCATTCGAAGTGTGGGCGCTGACATGTTGTTTTGCAAGACGCTCTGGGCCGCCACCTGTGGTGACATGACTATGGGCTTTGAGCCGGGGACTTTACAACGATCCAAAGCCTATGATAGATACATCAACACAATTAAAATCAATCAAATACATCTACAAAATTCTACAGCTACTTTTGTACATATGCACGGAAAATGTCATTGAATGTTAATATGATGTTCATAAGCTGTTTATATATATATTTGGGTTAAATAAGTTATAAGTTATATATCACAGAAATCGCATTTAGACTAATAGGCCATTCCTCCATTGACTGAGCTGCCCGTCTGCTGTGGAGCTTCGAGGTCGGGAGCTGCCCTGGGGATGATGGTGATATCAATAGCATGAGGTCTGGGATATCAATATCCCCATTTTTGCTGCTTGGGTTCCAAGACAAATATCCAATGTGGATTCAGTATGATTCAGTATGATTCAGTGAAATGACACCACTTTTGAAATGGATTCAATGCAGATGTTGCTTGCTGATCTCATACTTTGTCTTGATGTCTTCAGTTTGTTGCTGGTGAAATTGCAATGTTCAAAAGTCACTTTCCCACTGGCAAATGCTGAGGTGTCAACCCTGCTACGACCTGAAAGCCCAGGCTGCATGGGCATCGACCACTCTGTGGGCGCCTGACAGTGCTGATACCAGCAGAGCATATTTGATCGGACAAGCATCCCGTCACCCCAGTTTTGAATACGTTGAATATCCGTCGAATACTCGTCGAGACCTTGGGGGTAAGTGTTGGATCTATTCATTGTGCGGCCCAAAAAATACGTGCAAAATTCTTCAACGGCGACCGTTTGCTGGCGTGGAATCCTTGGCAAAGCCCAAAAAAAGACTGCGAAAGGGATTCGGCGCAGCCCCAGATGCATGGTTGAAACACCTGAAAAAATCGTCACACAGCATAGCATTACAACAACACCCAAGCAAATAGAAAACATAGAAATTTGGAAACCTGGAAATTGTGGGGATAACAGCGTCTAAGTCTAAGTCTAAGTCATCTCTCTCTCTCTCCCTCTCTCTCCCCATCGCCCTCTCCTAAATCATCTATATCATCCTTTTTTTGGGTGGTTGCTCTATATATATATATTAGGTAACAACCACAAAGAATGACAAACAATAATAATAATATACGTATAATAATGATCATAAATTGCAAATTTATATAAATGGTGATGGTGATACGTTTCTATCTTTTGTTGAGGACGCATCTGGCACACGTTTTTTGTTGTTTGTTTTCTTTTGGCCCATGCTGTGTGAGATTGCTGTTTTGGGGGTACTGCAAATGCATATGTGAAAACAATGGGTTTGGGAATGCAGATTGCGAGACTGCCAGGCTGCAGGGTAAACAGGAATTGAAACACACGAGGGAATAAAGCCACCCATGCACAAGCAAACCCAACGCCTCTCCTCTTGTCAATGCTTCATTTGCATTCATGATGGTGTGTCCCTGTATCTCAGAACCAAAGCGTCCGAGACTAGAGGTAAAAAAGGACAGATTCCCCTTTCATCCACCAAAGTTCAAGAAGAATGCAAACCCGCCTCAACATGATGGAACATGACCATTAATGAGTGAATATCTGAAAATTCAACACGTCAAAATACTATGCTACAAAGTACGAGTACGTCTTTGTCGGCATGGCCGCTGGGGTTCCAAGCGACATCACGCTGATTTTCCGCCGGCTGTTGCCGATAAATGTCTGCTAGCTGCTAGTCGCTCCCAGTGGGAGATGCCAAAAGCCCTGAGGCCATGGGTTTCTGCAGCGGCCGTGTAGGTAGCTTCTTAACGTTGTGAAAGATTGCGAAGTCATGGTCACCATGTCGGTTCACTTCCTGACGTTTTGCTTTCTCAAAGAGGGTATACAAAGGAACATCAAGCTGGGTAAGCAGCCACAAGGTAAAGTCCCCCCCATCTTTGCTTTCGCCTGCATCTAGGTCTGGTTGCGTGGCGGCAAACACGATGAGGTTGGCGGCAGCCTGTCGGTCCTCTTCTTGATGGAAGGCTTGTTTGTGGGCTTCGCACAGTGCTCCAGCGTGGCAACTGTCGGCAATCACCACCAGCAGCTTACCAAAGGGGACCGCATAGCTCCGACTGAGTTCCAGAAGCTCTTGAAAAGAAATGCTTTCATCTTCGGTGACCAGCCATGTGCCAGAACCTTCCTGTCCGTGACCTGAATAATACAAAACATACACATCCAAGTCCTGGCAGAATTTGAACGCTTGCTTGACGAGGGGGTGGTTTTCCTTGTTTGGGAACCCCTTGGAGGTCTACAGTAATCTGTCTTTATGTGGTGAGTATTGTATATTATTTGTATAGTATAATTATGTATAATTGTTTGAAATTGTACGTGCCAAAACAAAGTGCGTCCTCCACCATCAGTTGAAAGCGAAGGGATCGGAGGATGGTCGCTTTGGTGATTTTTTCCAATACAACTTCTTTCTCTGAGATGCTTTTGGGCTGGCCCCGTGGAAAGGTCTTGCTCATGATGGTTTGGTTCGGCAACCTGGCTCCTCCACTCTGAAAAGCCTTTTGCACATTCAAGCAGTCGTGCAAGGCCCCAGTGAGCGGAAGGCAACTTTCGCGATCGCCGCTACCACTCCTCGTGCGATATCCCAAGCTGCTTTGCTGCTCACTCAAGTTCCCTGGTGATGAAATCACTGCCAGATGTGTTCGCAAGGCTCCACCCGACGACAGGCCATGTTGAACCAATCTCTGCAAAGACGCTCTCGCCTTCTGCACCATATCTGGCGTGGGTATTTCCCGGCATCTTTGGCAAATGTCGAAATCACACATGCTGCAGGTGAAAGTAACTCGTCCAGGCTCAATACCTCCACTGCAAGCATCACACTGAGTGTGCAGTTCCATTTCTTCTGGCTCCACAAGCTTTGCCTCCATCAGGTGATGCCCACCTGGGCAATTCCGGTTGGATGGGGCAGCACGAAGATAGACATTGCAGCGCTTCACCATACACTCTTTCAGCGTGGGAGCCATGCTTGCAGGAATCTCGAGCCTTTGTCCGGACCACAAGGGCTGCTCAACATGAGGCCCTTCTGCTGCAAGGGCTTGGATTTCTTGAAAGCGCATTCTAGACACTTGGTCGTACACTTGGGGCAGCGTCGCTGCTGTAGCACTTGGCAAATCCTGCTTTAAAGTCTTTTGCACGGAATCTTGTGCCAAATCCCGCACACCCATCACTTGTGCAGAAACACTTGGTTCGAAAGCCCAGGATTCGCCCTTGGCCGCTGCAAACATGCGCTCCCAGATGGAAGGATTGCGAATCCCTACCAAAGAATCTCTTCTGCGTGAGTCCGCTGGACTCGTCTTCCACTCCAAGAGCACCTGCTGCTGATTGATGTCAAGCACTTTTGCCAGATATCGACCTTGTCCGCCTCCCGGATGAGGAGCAGTCACCAGAGCATCCAGCTCAACACCCTCAGTGCCCAGCTGCACGGCATCTGGCAAGTTGAAGCCAGCACCTCCCAAACCACAACTTTGGATTCCCCTCAGCTTGTAGCGTGGTCCAATGATGCTCGTCATCTTAATGTCTCCGATGAAATCCACAATGTGCTCACCATCCAGGTAAAGAAGCTCGCTTGTAATGCAAGCCATGAAGAGCACACGCAAAAAGGTCTGAGGAAAACTGCCTGTTCAACTGTTCGCATAACAATTCCTTTGTCCTATCTTGGCTGTCTATGATATGGTATCTCTGGTCAATTCGTAGCGTGTACCGTGAACTTGTCATAGGTCATAGACATGATGGACTGCCGGAGGGAAAATGCGCACAATAGAAACAAAATGAATTGCAGTAGTAGTGTCAGTGACGAGGTTGTTCCTGAGGCTGCCAACTCAGCTTTGCTCAAAACATCTCAAGTTCATCCACTAAAAGTTTAATGCAACCACTTTTGGAACATCATCAGTACGCAATGAAGCACTGAAATTGCGCCATTTGTGACCCAAAACACACAACTCATCCACATTCCCTTGAACTCTTATGAAAGGACAACCCAAAGAATAGAGATCTGGTTGTTCCTGAATCCAAATGCCGGATTAGGCGCACCATAACATCATGCATGCACCAATGCACGCCAACAAATCGTTCATGTGCAAACCCTTTTCTCCAGTCGTCATCGAGCTCATCGAGAACGGACTCTTTGGTCGCGCCCTCCTTCTCAAGCACTTGAAGAACATGTTGGAACAGCGGGGGTTGCATTGCAATGGGGCCAGCCAATTTTTGCATGGCTTTTGGTGATTGGGTGTGCATTTCTCCGTTTTTTTTAGATTGCCCCCGCAGCTGCCCAGCATCACGATAGCTGGCTTTCAGCACATCCATGAATCTGTCCATCATGAAACTCCTGTCCATAGTGCCGGTGCGTGAATGTGGCAAAGATGCGAAGATCGTGGTGAGCTTTCTATAGCCTTCCCTCGCCGTCTGTGCTTCCTGATTATTTCCTTGAATCGAATTGACCAGCTGCTGCAACTTCTCCTGGTAGTCCAAATCATGGAGGATGACCTTAATCTCTGATCCTTGTGCAACTACATCGTTATCGCCTAAATGCTGTGCGCCGACGGTTATCTCCAACTGATCCGGCAGAACTTGGTCGTACTCTGGTTCGGACATCATCTTAGCCACCTCTTCCTTGAAGACTGCAAATCGGCAATTCTCCGGAGCACACACGGGAGCTGGAGGGTCAAACTCATCCCCCTGGCTCCAGCAGATTGAAACCTGGTACTGCACCGTGGCTGGTGCCCGGTGAGCATCGGGATGCTGAGGCTGAGCCATCGGGATGGCCAGCCAAACAAATACCTTGCAAAACTAGGCCATCATGAATACAAATGACAGGATCTTGGGACATTGAATAGAGCAATATGGAACAACAAAACATAGAACAATCTGAGATATCCTGCATAAAATGCCAACGCAAGTAATTGCACCATGACAATGCCAGCTGCATTATCTCTATCAAATGCTGAAATTCTGATGTCATGTTGGCGTAGTGGCTACCCTTTAGCTGCTGAGTTTGAACCCAAAATAAATGCCGTGGATCTCGCCAAACATCTGTGCTTAGTATTGATACTCCAATCTCGCCACCTGCTTTCAAGTGATGCACTTTCAAATCAGTGACCCTTGAATCTCCATCCATTTTGATGACAGAGTCACTGCTTCCACTCTTTCTGGGGGCCAATCCAAACCAACTCGGGCAAAAAAAGGGAACAATACGATGGAAGCGTTGAATCTCCCAAAGTTTTATCCATGTTCTACCCCAAAAATGGGTGGTGGTTGTTTATCCATGTGCTGTTGATCCCCCAATGAAATCCAACAACAAATGGATCAACAGCCACCAGCCACCAACCAGCGACAGCGTGGGACCTGGACGCTCGCCACGGGCTTGGCTTCCAAAGACATGGTGGAGCTGTTCGCCTTCACCACCGTGGACATGGGCTTAGCCACGTTGTGGTGGAAACTGCACCTCGAACATGCTGGCAATATTGCTGGGAAACTGATCGGGAAAATGGTGGAAAACTATGGAAACTGGAAACTGGTGGAAAAATGGTGGAAAACTAAAACTGTAGGAAAACTGATAAGGCCACCAGTTCAACATCCACATCCCCAGCTTCACATGCGAGTGAATTCTGAGCAACTGGCTGAAATCACATTTTTTTCCAATTGACCAGCGAATCAAACAGCCTTTCAACTTTCTATGGGATCTCAACCAAGCAAACATCCTGGGTTTCAGGCTTTCCTGCAGCTGTGCTGGTCGTGTGGTGCAACACCTGGCTATCCCCAAATCCAATCGGCTGATCCACATGTCAGTGCAGAAATGATCCAACAACAACCAGCAAAAAGCTAGTTGGAAAGGTTGTAAGTTACACTTTGGCATATAAAAACCTTCATTATCCATAAAAATGAAGGATTGCGCGGCTAATGTTGCTAATGTTTCAACATGTTTCAACGGTACGCATTGGGCCATGCGCCTGCCAAGTTCTACCCAAGAAGTCGTTTGAGGTGGTGTTGATGTACGCATAGCTGGCCTCAAATCCAACTGGATGCACCAGAAGCACCAGAAATCGCTGGCAGCAACTGGCTCCAAATTTGGGCAACTGGCACCCCTGGAAACCATATATGTATCATATGTATGTATATAAATGTATATGTATAATATGTATGCATCTATAAATATCTATAATCTACATTATTATATAATATAGTAGTAATATGTAGTAATATATGAAATTGCATTTTACCACCTTCATTGGTTACCTGCCCCCCGCGGTACCTTTGGAAAGGGATCGTTGAAACAGCTGAAGGCATGATCTCGCTGCGCTCGTTCCAGCCCTGCCACGGATTCAAGCAATGTGCTGTGCGTCGCAGAGTCAAAAGAAAGAAAAAGGACCATCCGATGCTCGACAGGCTATATTGATATATGGACATTTAATTGCATATTATATATATATTATCTCTCTCTCTCTCATGGATATCACTGTAACTCGACTATATATATATATACACATAGAAAATACATGCATGTATGTATGAATGTATGTATGCATGCATGCACACCTTTGTGAGGGATTTGTTGTTGATAGGGGCTGTGGCTATTGGCCAAACAGCTACTGGTTTGATCAGCACCCATCAGCATATTGGGAGCGCCGTCCTTTCTTCATGGCAGCACTATCACTACTCTGGTAGGGTGAGCAGGTGCCAGAATTTCTACATATATAAGTTTACCATACATGGGGGTTCACGTGCTTTTTACACAAAACTTGTTGTTTGCTCTTCTATTATTAATTGAATCAATCAGTGTGGAAGATCTGGAGTTGCAGAATCCTTCGTCTTCCAGTTCGGACCCTTCACGACAGATGGTTTCCAAGTCTTTCCCGGGCAGCCTTCTCTCCAGTATTTGTCTTGAAGCACCGGTGTGGCAGTGGAGTGCTGATAGTTTGCCACCTCACATCTTCATCAGGCGCCGGCGGCGCCGGCTGGAAAGCATCAGAGACCCAAAAGGGGTTGATTCTGACTGGCCAAATGCCAAACCAGTTTTTGCCAAATGCCCAGGTCTTCAATTGTGATGAATGCCCAGCTGACCTATTCTCACAAAGCCAAGTTACCCCCACGCGCGCCATGCCGTGTTTGGGCCTTGCAAGGGCTCATGGCTGTAGGGTGATTCCAGAAGTTGCAGGGGGTTCACCACCAAAAGATCAAAAATGAATCATCAAATATCGTCGAAGATCATTTCATATCGTCAAGTATCATCAAATATCATCAGCTGGTGGGAATATTCTGACCCAAAAATCTTCAACACCCATGTGACCCCAGAAGCTCCCCGCACCTGCGCCGCAGGGGACGCGCCGGGATCCGGTCGGCCGTCTTTTGAGCCACAAGGTCTATGTGCGCAGGCAGGGGATGATGGCCCACCGGTATGCCGCAACCGTCCACAAGTAACCCCTTCTGCAATATCCTGTCTACTTATGAGTTTCTAATGCTGATGAAGTACCCAGGAACAGCTTTTGAAGGTCAAGCTGGAAAATTCAACAGTCAACAACTTGATACAAAAAACAGCCGCAGAACCAAGGTTGGCGAGCAGCAAAATTTATGTCCCATTGTCCCAAAATTAAAAATTGATTACATGTGCCAGTTTTACCAAGCAGAACGCAAGTGGAGCAACCCATCCCCATCGTGGCACCAATGGCACCACCAGTGCCCCTGGATGCCGCACTCATTGGTCCTTTCCGCTCCAACACTGAGAGGGAAGGCGGTCTCGCCTTGGGGCAAACTTTATCGAAAACCAATCCGTTCCAACCAAACCTCCAATGGTTTCTTCATGTCATATCCACATGTCCAACTGGACCGTCCAACCTCAACATGATCTTCCAAAAAACATGTTTGGAAGCGTAGATTTCAGGGCCTAATCCCCAAAAGCGTAGATTTCATGCCCTTGTGAGTTTCGTGCCCAGGGCTCAGGGTCTTGGAGAAGCGAAGGGTTAACCATCGACCAAACACTGGGAGAATAACAATAAGTCACCCTAATCCTCACATGCCATGCTTCCTCTATATCCCTACAAATGGTTGGATTTGTATGGATTTGTTGGGTTGTTTGCCAGAAACTGTACTGGAAACTTCACGAAACCATGCTGTTGACCATTCATCCCATCTTGTGGGCTCACAGCTTCGGCCCCAACCATCTCTCGAGCGATGTTTTCAATCATCTTGATATCGCTCACGGCGGCCTCCGCCTATGGTGCTCTTGGTTTGATCATTTGAAGTGAACGGTAAAATTCTGCAGGAGACCCTCCTATGGCCTTTATATTATATACACGATCTTGTGTAATAGCAACATTCTGCGAGATATGTACTAGCACATACAGTATCGTCAATGTACCTGTTTCAAGCCTGGTTATGCTTTATTTTGTCCATCAATTCCAGCAGCCAACCAAGTGAGGCCTTGTTTCAAGTGTTTACAAAGTCTAAAGCCAAACAAATATTCTGAAGTTGAGATTTAAGATTTGGAGAACCCCCCAGCCATCGAGTATAGGATTCATGTGGATCTGTTATAAGTCGATCGCTGGGCCTGCGCTTCACGTCGGGCCTGGAAGATCATTTCTGATTGTCAGCTCGGGCATATTCAGGTGCTTTGACCACTGGCAACATGGCTGACTTTAGCATCTAAGCTCTGCTGCAGCTCAAAATCACTAATTTTGGTCAAACCCATGCCAGTGAAATCGCCAGTCTTAATGGCTAAGTCCCCATTTGCAAACGAATTTCCCATCCCTGCCCAACCCAACGGGATTCCCACAGATGTTCCTGATATGTGTTCCATCTATGTTCATAAATTTCCTGTAGATTCCCCATAATTATGCTATGTCACATGTATTTTCCATAGGAATTCTATGGATCCCATCCATTTCACCCCTGGAGCCCCAGGCCACTCGGGCCGCAGGAACTCGGGGAGGTCTCAGCATGGCCTGCGGCTCAACACCATTCATAGATTTGGCATATGTATGCATGATATATATGATATATATATATGTGTATATATATGTGTGTATGGTGTATACATATATATATGTGTGTGTGGATGGTGTATAATGGTGTATATATGTGGTGTATGTAAATATATATATATATATGGTGTAAATAAATAGATATATGTATATATATATATATATGTGTATATTTGGTGTAAATATATACGTATATATGTATATACACGGATGGTGTATATATTGTCAATATCTGGTATATGTACATCATATGTGTATATATACTCAAAGATATATATATATATCAAATATATCATATATATATATATATATATCACAGGTAAATAAATATCATATATATATATATATCGTTTATATATCATATATATATATATATAATAAATATATCATGTTTATAAATATCTATATATATCATATATATATATCATATTTATATATATATATATCATATATATATATCATATATATCATATATATATATCATATATATATCATATATATATATCATATTTATATATATATATCATATTTATATATCGTATATATATATATATGATATATATATATATATCTTATATATATATCATATTTATATATCGTATATATATCATATTTATATATCATATATATCATATATGATAATATCAGATATATAATATATATCATATATATCATATCTATCAAATATATATATATCATAATATATATATATCATATATCATATATCATATGTATCATATATATATATCATTTAAATATCATATTCATTGTATATATCGTATATATCGTGTATATTTTCATGTATATATATATACTATTTTTATTACTATTATTATTCATATAAATATATCATATTTATCTCATATTTATTGTATATATCATATATATCACATATATCACATTTATCATATATATCATTTTTATAAGTCATGTATATCATAAATGATATATATATATATAAATATATATATTACATATATCATATATATATATATCACAGATAAATATATATCATATATATGTATCATTTATATATCACATATATATATATCATATATACCATATGTATCATATATATATATATTACTTTTTTATTTATTATATACATCATATATATATATTTATTATATACATCATATATATATATATCATATACAGATATAATATATATATATATAAATATATATCATCACATATATATATATTATCACATATATATATATTATCACATATTTATATATATATACAATATATATATATATATACAATATATATATACAGTTGGCTCTCAATTAGCAACCCCATTAATGATCAAACAGTGTACGACATTCCAGCCACACAGAATATCTGTGTATATATACTGTGAATATATGCGCATTTGTGTGTGTGTGAACCAAAGTGCCAAAATCTTCCCCTACCCTTTGACCAAATGGTCCTAGTTGAATCTTCAAACATCCTGCAAAGCCATGCACCTTCGGAGGGCCCGAGTCGATCGTAGCCTTGACATGTGCCTGGAACAGTTGGGCTCTTTGGAAAGCTGGTCTCAGCCAACCGGGGTGCTTCAAAATAGGAAAACAAGAGGAATTCACTCGTGCCTTCAACCCGTCTAGATGAAGATCCAAATCATTCCATTTCCGAGATGAAGAGAAAAGCAAATAATTGATGCGACTATTGCTCTCATGTTCCTCCCTGTGCATGTCTCTATGCCAAACAGAGCAACCCGTGTCAGTTTGTTGAATGGTGGTCAGTCAAAGTATAAGTGCTGATTTCCCATCTTGTTGGCAACATGGACACTGGACACGAGCACTAGTCTGCCCTTGTACGTTTCCTCCAAAGCCAGCTTCTACAGCACCACTTTGGTTTGTCACTGGAATGAGGCAAATATCACCAAGCAAGGGGCCACAAGGGCAGCCAAAGCAATGCGCGAGGAAATAGTGTATCGCGCACATGCATCTTAAAAAAATAAAAAAAATACTAAATACTATACCAGTAGTACCGCACAAGGCGGTGGCGGAAGTTTCGAAAATAGGAAACCTATAGGAGAGGTTGGTTGTTGTGAATCAGGGGTGGCAGAGCGAAGCCACTGATGGACTGAAAGGTGCTTGATCTCTCTCACTCTTTCTCTTTCTCTGACTATCTACCTACCTACCTATCTATTTTCTATGTATCTATCTATCTATCGATCTATCTATCTATCTATCTCTCTCTCTCTCTCTCCCTCTCTCTTTCATCTAATTGCCCTATCTATCTATCTATCTATCTTTCTTTCTTTCTTTCTATCTATCTATCTTGCTATCTATCTATCTATCTATCTCTCTCTCTCTCTTTCATCTGTCTATCTGTCTAGCTGTCTACCTGTCTATCTGTCTATCTATCTGTCTATCTGTCTACCTGTCTATCTGTGGTGCAGTGTCATTCAGTGTAATGTAGCGTAGTGTAGTGTAGTGTAGTGGAGTGTAGTGGAATGTAGTGTAGTGTAGTGTACTGTTGTGTAGTGTAGTGTAATTTAGTGTAATGGAGTGTAGTGGAGTATAGTTGTGTAGTCGTAGTTGTAGTTGTAGTGTGCTGGATGGAGTGTAGTGGGGTGTAATGTAGTGAAGTGTAGTGGAAGGTAGTGTAGTGTAGTGTAATGTAGTGTAGTGGAGTGTAGTGTAGTGTAATGTAGTGTAGTGTAATTTAGTGTAGTGGAGTGTAGTGGAGTGTAGTGGAGTGTAGTTGTGTAGTTCTGTAGTTGTAGTTGTAGTGTTGTGGAGTGTAGTGTAGTGTAATGTACTGTAGTGTAGTGGAGTGTATAGTGTAGTGTAATGTAGTGTAGTGGAGTGTATAAGTGTAGTGTAATGTAGTGTAGTGTAATGTGGTGTAGTGTAGTGTAATTTAGTGTAGTGGAGTATAGTGGAGTGTAGTGGAGTGTAGTGGAGTGTAGTGGAGTGTAGTTGTGTAGTTCTGTAGTTGTAGTTGTAGTGTTGTGGAGTGTAGTTTAGTGTAATGTACTGTAGTGTAGTGGAGTGTATAGTGTAGTGTAGTGACCCGAAGCGAAGCGAAGCGAAGCGAAGCGATGGCGACATCTGAACCACCAAAAGTGGTCCGAACCCCTAGTGTTTTGAACATGTTGACTTCGAAAT